GTTTTCAACATTGTTTTTCCTGAACCTTGGGATTTTCTAAAATGGTACACTAAAAAGGTTCACTTTGAAATCCCCACTAGCATTAGCAAGAACATTAGCATCAGCCTGTCTTTCATAGGCTTTGTTCCGGGCATTGCCTATTCCTCGTGAAATGAAGGCCCTTTGGGCATTTTCTTCCAAAGGGGCCTGTTTCGTCACAAGAACGCTTTTTTTCGGTTTCAGCCTTCAGTCTCATGTACCCCGGGAAATTTCATGCACATAGCACATATGGGTAGTAGTTTGGAAGACAGCAACCACCCGGGAAGTACTACCGTCCTCCAGATGAGTGAAAAAAAAAACCTTAATTTTTTTGCATATGGTAGGTTTGCTGGTTTCTTTTTCGTCTCATAAACACGCTAAGATAACAGGGATATTTGCTACCCCTACAACACTTGGTCACATTTACAGAACGCAATGCATATATATATATACATACATCTAGGTTTTTTTCCTTTTTCTAAATAGCTCTTTTTCTTTTTTATTTTCTTCTATTGTCCAGGGGGAAGGGGAAAAGAATCTTTCCCCCGTAAGCCATGGTGTCGATGAGGCGACTAAATGCCGGGGAGCAAGGGGCTAGAAACCCCCTTTCTCCTTATACAATTACAAAAAAAAAGAGAAGAAGAAAAATTTTATAAAACGGGGTTTTTAAAATGTGCGTGATGTATGCGGATGAAAAACAGATGTTTGCTGATGTTATGAATGAAAAAAGTTGGATGTCCGGGCCCAAGCGAAAAAAAGCTAAAGGGGGGGTGGGAGATTTTTTCGTGGGGGGAAATAAATGGATAAATCTGGAGTATCTGAGAGATTAAGAAAAGGGAAGGGGTACAGTAATTTAAATGATCAGTTATGGAAGGAAAAAGAGAATAGAAGTGAAATTCAAGAATTAGTGGATTAAAGTAAGGTTTGGGATGCAGAAGTGGGTCATAATAAGCGGTATGCCCCTGGAGAAGAGGGGGAATGCAAGGAGGAGAGAGATTTTGGGAATGTTAAGTGAAATGTATGGGCCTTTGAACCCAATGAGAGGTAATTGGGGGTAGGGGATTTAAATGCTAAAGTGGGAAAAAACTTTTAGAGGGGGTTTTGGGTGGTAAGTTTGGGTCCAGGTGTAAATGATAAGGGGGGAACCCCCTTTGTTGAACTTTGTATAGAAAGGGGTTTATTTAAGGTAATACATATTTTAAAAAAAAAGAGGTAAATAAGTATACACGATTATGTAGGGCGAAATGACAGTATTTTGTTGGATATGTATTGGTAATAAAAAACTTTTTGAAAACTTCAAATTACATGTTTATAGAGGGGCCACAGATATATCAGATCACTTTCTATTGTAGCTACCCTGAGAGTAAAAGGTAATGGGATAAAAGGAAAAGAAGCATCGGGGAAAAGGAGAGGTAAGGTTTATAAATAAAAGAGGGGGCAGTTAGGGTAGTATAAACAGCATTGGAGGATAGAGGGGCTAAGAGAGCATGGGCAAGGGGGTCGAAGATGGGGGGGGTTTAGGTTTAAAAAATGTAGGTTAGAGTTTTTCAGCAAATTTTTTGGTTACGGGAAATGGGTGCAGGGGGGAAAGAGGAGCGATTGGTGGAAGATGATGAAAAGAGGTAGAAAGGGAGAAAAAGTTAGCATAAAAGTTTTTACAAAGAAATGATGCAAGGGGGAAAGATATAGAGAAAAAGGGGAAGAGGTTAAGAAGTGGTGAAGCAATTAAAAAGGAGAAATGAGAGAGGGGTGAATGTTATCAACAAAAATTTTTTGAAAATAAGAAAAAGTTTTGAGTGAAAATTTTAAAAATTAAGAAAGCCTGAAAACAAATGGATTTGTCAGTTAAAAAAAAGGAGAGGGAAATTATTAAATGGGGAGTAGAGGTATTGGGAAGATGGAAGGAATATTTTGAGGAATTGTTAAAAAATTATGAAGAAGGGAACTGTGTTCGTGTTAAAAGGCAAGGAGGAAAACATCTTGTAGGAGTGAGAAGAGCCATTTGAGGTGGGGGAAATTTGTGAGGCAGTAGGTAAAAAAGAAAAGGGGGTAAGGCACCGGGATTGATGGGTAAAGATAGAAAAAGTTTTAAAAACAGGTGGGGATATAGTTTTGGATGGGTTTGGGGCAAATTTTTTAATAATGTAGGAAGAGGGTAAGGTACCTAGGGATTGCAAGAGCATGCATGTTCCTTTGTTAAAGCAAAGGGGATAAAAGAAGGCAAAAAAATTTTAGGGGGTAAGCTGTTAGGACCTGTAAAATGTAGGTTAAATATATTGAAAAAATTAAGAGAAGACGGGAAATAGGGTAGCAGATGAAAAAAGGACTTTAGGAAAGGTAGGGGGGTGGGACCAGGTGTTTACAGTGAAACAAAAAATGAACAGTAAAATTTAGAAAGGCTAAAGAGGTCTTTTGGGCATTTTTTGGGGGAAAGGCGTATGACAGGGTGGATAGGGGGGGAATGTGGCAGATGTTAATTATGGTGTAGGAGGTAGGGTTTTGAAAGCATAGAGTTTTTTTCGGGGAAGTGGGGGCTCAATTAGAGATGTAGGAAAGAGGGAAATTTTTTCCCCGTAAAAGTAGGGGCCTTTGACAAGGGGTGTGGATTCATGGGTTGTTTAATATATTTATAGATGGGGTTTAAGAGAAATAAATGCGAGGGCTTGGCAAAGGCTGGGGGTTAAAAAAAAAAAAGAATCACACACAAAGGGGAGTTGCACAGTGCCTTTTTCTGATGACACCTGCCTTTTTGGGGATTCAAGAGAAGTTGCAGAGATTTGGGGGAAATTTGGTAGGGTGTGCAAAAGAAGAAAATTAAAGGTGAATCCCGGAAAAGTAAGGTTATAGGATAACAAAAAGATTGGTGATGAAAGATTGAATATCAGATTGGAGGGGGAAGTATGGGGGAGGTGAAAGTATTCGATATTTGGGAAAATGGACTGTCAGCGGGTGGGGCTATGAAAGATTGGGGGAATCAAGAAATTTAAGGGAAAAAGAGTGAGTGGTACTTAGGGTCTGTGGAGACAAAGAACTTTGTCCTTGGGGGCAAAAAAGGGGAAGTATGAGAGTTATTTTACCAAACCCCTTTTATGGGTTGAAGCGTGGGGATGAATTTGCAGGGGAGAAGGGTGGAGGCAGTGGGGAATGTCATGTCTGGGGGCAAAAGTGTGGGTGAATTAAAGCAGGAATTCGTAGTTTGGGTTGGGGAGTGCGGGATTACCAAAACTTTGTCCGAGGGTGAGGAAGGGTTGTTGAGGTGGTTGGACATGTAGAGAGAATGGAGCGAAACGAATGACTTCAAAGGGGTATCTCTGTAGTGGAAGGAAGGCGGGTAGGGGCGGCCAGGAAGGGGTTGGAGGAGGGGGTAAAAAAGGGTTTTTTTGCGAGGGCTTGGACTTCCCCAAGGGTGCGTAGCGTGTTTGATAGGATGAATGGAACAATGGTTTTTTAAAAATTGACGGCGTTGGAGTGTGAGCAAAGTAAATTTATGAAGGGATTCAGGGAAAACCGGGAGGCCGGACTGAGCCTGAGATGGGAAGTACGTGCCTCACTCTGAAAGGGGGGTGTTAATGTTGCAGTTTTGAAACTGTAGTGAAAGACCCTTCTGGCAAAACAGTGGAGTGAATGATGGGGAAAATTTTTTTTTTTCGGGCCCCCCGCCTTGGTGGGAATCGGCCGGTGTGAAAAAAAAAAAAAAAAAAAATTTTCGCCGCCTTGTGGTCCAACGGCACCCACCCTTCCTTACCACACAATGTATGCCAGTACAGTTCTTAAATCTCTCAAACCAGCCTTTGCTGGCCTTAAATTCACTCACATCACCACTATTTGCAGGCAATTTCTTTACCAAATCTTTATGCAACTGCCTAGCCTTTTCACAACTAATCAAAGTCATAAGAGTATCTCCTGCTAATTGTTTCTCATTTATCCACACCAACAATAACTTCTCAACCTCTTCGAGTACTGGTGATCTCATTTTTGTCAGCATAGTTACTCCCTTTGCAACAACAGCATCCTTGATTTCCTTAGTCTTGGCCACTATGGAACATAAGGTTGTGTAGGGTTTCTTATACATCCTGGACAGTTCGGCCCCACTTGTACCACTTTCATATTGTTCAATGATGGTTTTCTTAAATTCAATCGTATTTCTCACCTTCTTTACCACAGGCTTGGCACTAGGAGCTTTCTTTGGAGCCATGGTAGCTTATTTAGTACTTGCAAGCACTAAAATAAATGGAATATTATGAAATATTTCGCTGGAGCACGTGAGGGGACCTTCGCTCACTGGTAAACAATGCCAGACTGCCTGCCGCCCCGGCTCACGCCAAGGGTACGCGTCCGGGACGAATTACGACTCACGAGTCAACTTTTGAAAAGCGAGTCCATGTTTATACGAAAATAACCCTATGATTGGCGAAATTTACGATTGCCGGGAACTACGAAAAGCGAGGGACCACTGTACTTTTGAACATCGGCAAAAATCAAACATTTCCCCTACTCCATTTCCAGGTCCTTTTTATAGTAAAATCAATCAAAATCACCTCTATTTCTATAATATGTTTTCAATTCTATCAAATGAGACTAAAAAAACGAGAATACAACTATAAATACTATACGAAAATAGACCACAAATTCGGCATTTTAATTAAAAAAAAAACGGTTCGAGTTTTTTTTTCTCATTATGCACTGTGTGCTCCAGGATTTTTTTTATATGGTGCACACTGACCACACAGACCCATTCTCTCACATGTGGGCCTACCAGCTTTCTCCTGCTTGATCTGAAGCCGCTAGAATTTATGAGTATATATACGTCAAACACGGTACCTTGTAAGACGTATATATATATGACCGAAATACTCAAAGGGTTAAGTGCAAGTATAATTTCTATATTAAAAACATAAGTGATTAATAAATACAATAAGAGATTAATAATACAAGCCAAGAAGTGAAGTACTTCAGGGATGAGCGTACCAAACTATACTTACCGCAAGTGAAACATCGCCCATAACCTCCATAGTAAATGCCTTCATCCCCAGATATTGATGATGAATCTGAATTGATGCTGGTATCAGTGGTATCAGTATTGCTGCTTACTGAAATTGCTTCTGAGAACTCTGTTTCCGTTGTTTGAGAAACTGATGTACTGTTATCACTTCCTTGGAGAACAGGGTTTAATGCATGAGATGCTCCAGCGAGTTGATTCAACTCGGGCTGGTTGTGTCCTTCCTGTGACTGATCTTCTATCTGCCTTGAGCTGGAAGTTGAGAGTGGTTCATTAGATTCAACTACAATCGGATCATCCAGACTACCTGACCCTCTATTACCTTGAAAAGGTGGTCCAGCTGTTCGAGGTCTCTGGTTTCTTTGATGTGGGTAAATGATGGGAAACCCATGAGATGTTCCATCTCTGTAAGTTACAAATGAATTTCTGACAAATCTACCAGCTTCATTATTTTCAGCTGATGGACCAGACATTCCTTGCACTTCATGGGGCCTGCTAGCTCTTTCAACAGCTGGTTGTGGTTCGTCCCTCCACCTGTAATAACATCACCATGGCCTCTTAGTTAAGCTAGTATTATTATCAAGCACAAGAAAAAACAGATCAAGAATAGATAAGGTTATTAGAATAAACATTTAAATAAGAGCACAGTACTATGTTAGAAATAACAAAAAAAAAAAAAAAAAAAAAAAGTCAGGTGAGCTAAGCAGGGTTAGCTCACCTTGACATACCTTATTATAAATATTGGTATAAACCTTGGTAATAAATACTGACAAGTTGGTTTAGAAAGACACGTAAGCAAACACTATGGCATATTTATTAGAAAACGTTTCGGTCCTGGGACCTTGATCACGTCTAACATACAGAGGTAGAAAGACATTATATATAGGCAGAGAGTGAGGTGTGAGTGACGCATGGTGACCTGAAGAATGCCAACATGGCATTCTTCAGGTCACCTCTGTATGTTAGAAGTGATCAAGGTCCCAGGACCAAAACATTTTCTAATAAATATGCCATAGTGTTTGCTTACGTGTCTTTCTAAACCATTATAAATATAACCCAACTGTCATGAGTAACTAGAAATATACTTTTATAATGTACATTTTTTTTTTTTTTTTTTTTAAACAAGTCGGCCGTCTCCCACCGAGGCAGGGTGACCCAAAAAAGAAAGAAAATCCCCAAAAAGAAAATACTTTCATCATCATTCAACACTTTCACCACACTCACACATTATCACTGTTTTTGCAGAGGTGCTCAGAATACAACAGTTTAGAAGCATATACGTATAAAGATACACAACATATCCCTCCAAACTGCCAATATCCCAAACCCCTCCTTTAAAGTGCAGGCATTGTACTTTCCATTTCCAGGGCTCAAGTCCGACTATATGAAAATAACCGGTTTCCCTGAATCCCTTCACTAAATATTACCCTGCTCACACTCCAACAGATCGTCAGGTCCCAAGTATCATTCGTCTCCATTCACTCCTATCGAACACGCTCATGCACGCTTGCTGGAAGTCCAAGCCCCTCGCCCACAAAACCTCCTTTACCCCCTCTTTCCAACCCTTTCGAGGACGACCCCTACCCCTCCTTCCTTCCCCTATAGATTTATATGCTTTCCATGTCATTCACTTTGATCCATTCTCTCTAAATGACCAAACCACCTCAACAACCCTCTTCAGCCCTCTGACTAATGCTTTTATTAACTCCAAAACCTTCTCCTAATTTCCACACTCCGAATTTTCTGCATAATATTTACACCACACATTGCCCTTAGACAGGACACTCTCCACTGCCTCCAACCTGTCTCCTCGCTGCTGCATTTACCACCCAAGCTTCACATCCATATAAGAGTGTTGGTACTACTATACTTTCATACATTCCCTTCTTTGCCTCCATAGATAACGTTTTTTGACTCCACATATACCTCAACGCACCACTCACCTTTTTTCCCTCACCAATTCTATGATTAACCTCATCCTTCATAAATCAATCCGCCGACACGTCAACTCCCAAGTATCTGAAAACATTCACTTCTTCCATACTCCTCCTCCCCAATTTGATATCCAATTTTTCTTTATCTAAATCATTTGATACCCTCATCACCTTACTCTTTTCTATGTTCACTTTCAACTTTCTACCTTTACACACATTCTCAAACTCATCCACTAACCTTCGCAGTTTTTCTTTAGAATCTCCCATAAGCACAGTATCATCAGCAAAAAGTAACTGTCAATTCCCATTTTGAATTTGATTCCCCAAAATTTAATCCCACCCCTCTCCCAAACGCCCTAGCATTTACTTCCTTTACAACCCCATCTATAAATATATTAAACAACCATGGTGACATTACACATCCCTGTCTAAGATCTACTTTTACCGGGAAGTATTTCTCCCTCTCTTCTACACACCCTAAACCTGAGCCTCACTATCCTCATAAAAACTCTTAACAGCATTTAGAAAACTTACCACTATTCCATATGCTGCAACATCTGCCACATTGCTCCTCTATCCACTCTATCATATGCCTTTCTAAATCCATAAATGCAATAAAACTTCCCTACCTTTATCTAAATACTTTCACATATAGCTTCAATTTTAAACACTTGATCTACACATCCCCTACCCACTGAACATCCCTGCTCATCCGCAATCCTACTTTTCTGTCTTAACTCTAATTCTTTCAATTATAACCCAAACCGTATACTTTTCCTGGTATACTCAAAAAATTTATTCTCTATAATTTTTACAATCTCTTTTGTCCCTTTTCCCTTTATATAAAGGGACTATACATGCTCTCCTCCAATACCTAGGTACCTTCCCCTCTTTCATACATTTATTAAACAAAAGTACCAACCACTCCAACACTATTCCCCCCCCGCTTTTAACATTTCTGTCATGATCCCATCAGTTCCAGCTGCTTTACCCCCTTTCATTCTACGTAATGCCTCACGTACCTCCACCACACTTACAATTTTGCTCTTCTTCACTCCAAAAGATGGTATACCTCCCTGGCCAGTGCATGAAATTATCGCCTCCCTTTCTTCCTCAACATTTAAAAGTTCCTCAAAATATTCTCTCCATCTACCTAATACCTCCCTCTCCCCATCTACTAACTCCCTACTCTGTTTTTACTGACAAATCCATACTTTCCCTAGGCTTTCTTAACTGTTTAACCCCATTCCAAAATTTTTTCTTATTTTCATTAAAATTTCTTTACAGTGCCTCTCCCATTCTATCATCTGCTCTCCTTTTGCACTCTCTTACCACTCTCTTCACCTTTCTTTTACTCTCCATATACTCTGCTCTTCTTATAACACTTCTGCTCTGTAAAACCCCTCATAAGCTACCTTTTTCTCTTTTATCACCCCCCTTTACTTCAAACATTCCACCAAACACTCCTCTTTCCTCCTGCCCCCACCCTCCTATAACCACAAACTTCTGCCCCACATTCTAATACTGCATTTTTAAAACTTTTCCCAAACCTTTTTAAACCCCCCCCCCCCCCCCACTACTCACTTTGGCACTACCCCCCTTTCTCCCAATAGTGCTTATATCTCCCCCAAATTTCCCTCCTCCCTAGTTTATACACTTTCACCCCCTTTTACTTGTTTTCCCCATTTCCCTCTTTTCCCATTCCCTTTACCTAACTGTAGCTACAAAAAATAATGATCCATATATCGTCCCCCCTTTCTACTCCCGGGGCCTACCTTTAACCCTTTTTTCCACATACATAAACTAACAAACTATTTTTTAGTGTACTCTACCCTTTTAATTTATTTATCCCTTTTTCATAAAATATGATTCTTATTACCAAATTTTTTTTCTACACTAGCCCAAATTTAAAAGGTCCCCATTTACATTTCCCCCGGGACCCCAAATTTACCTATACTCCCTCCATAAATTTTTACCCACTTAGTATTGAAATCCCCAACCACCATTACTCTCACACTTGATTCAAAACCCCATGCATTCACTCAACATTTCCCAGAATCTCTCTCTCTCCTCTACACTTCTCTCTTTCCAGGTGCATACACGCTTACCTATAACTCACTTTTCCACATCCAATCTTTATTTACCCCACATAATCCTTGAATTTATACATTTGTAGTCCCTCCCTTTCCTGCCATAGCTTATCCTTAAAATTTTTTGCTACTCCTTCTTTAGCTCAACTCTATTTGAAACCCCTGACCTAATCCCATTTATTCCCTCCCATTGAAACTCTCCCACCCCCTTCAGTTTTGTTTCACTTAAAGCCAGGACATCCATTTCTTCTCATTCATAACATCCACAATCATCTCTTTTTTATCATTTGCACAACATCCACGCACATTCAGACTTCCCACTTCGACAATTTTCTTTCTTATTTTTTTTTAGTAATCTTTACGGGAAAAAGGGTTACTAGCCCATTGTTCCGCATTTTAGTTGACTTTTACAACACGCATGGCTTACGAGGAAAGATTCTTATTCCACTTCCCCATGGATATAACAGGAAAAGTAATAAGACCAAGAACTATTAAGATAAAATCAAAGAAAACTCAGATGAGTGTGTATAAATAAATGTGTACATGTATGTGTAGTGTGACCTAAGTGTAAGTAGAAGTAGCAAGACATGCCTGTAATCTTGCATATTTATGAGACAGACAAAAGACACCAGCAATCCTACCATCATGTAAAACAATTACAGGCTTTCGTTTTACACTCACTTGGCAGGACGGTAGTACCTCCCTGGGTGGTTGCTGTCTACCAACCTACTACATATCTGTATTTAACTTGATTCATATTAAAAATTAACACACTGGCTTTATCTCACAGAAGTGGGGGGACAAAAAATAATTTCACCATCATTCAGTAAATAGCTGTCTTGCAGGAATGTGCAGACATCACAATTAAAATGATCCTCCAAATGGTAATATCTCCATCCCTCCCTCAGAGTGCAGGGACTGTACTTCCCACCTCCAGGACTCAAGTTCAGCTTACCAGCATCCTTGAAACCCTTAACAAATGTTACCATGGTCACACTCCAATATACATAAAACCATAAAAAAAAAAAACACTTTCCTCTACTCATTTCGATCTGATTCGCTCAAACAAGCCCGATCAATGTTCGAGCCCCTAGCACTTACAACCTCCTTTACCCCTTCCCTTCACCCCTTCCTTTAATGACCCCACCCCTCCTTCCTTCCACCTAAAATTTACTCACCCCCATGGCCCTTCTATCTTGCTTCATTCTCTCTAAATGTCCTAAATGCCCAAAACACATCAACAATCCCTCCTCAGTCCTTCGAGTTATACCCACAATAACGACTCAGTCTTCTAATTTTCTACACTCCAAATTCTCTGTATAATATTCACACCCTACATTGCTCTCAAACCTGACATTTCCACTGCCTCCAGTCTCCTTATCACGGCAAAGTGTAAAACCCATGTCTCACTCACATTTAAAAGTGTACATTTCACTCTACTCGGTTACATTCCCTTTTTGGCCTTTGTAGATAAACTTTCCTCATTCTGGAGATCTCAACATTCCACCTA